TGACCGTATATATAGGTATTCTATGGCCACATGTCACGATAACATAATATGAACGAAATGATTTCAGCTTTAACATCATTTTAACTTTCTATCACTTCACCCTTCGCTTTTAATCACAACATAACAAACTTTCTGGGGGATGTTTCTGCTTTCCATCACAGGTTACTTTTCTTCCACTACTTCCGTCACTTGGTTTAAAGTATTAGTTTTCTCTCTCCACATAACTACCTACGTCAACGCACATATATCGCATCGTACTTTTCCGTCACATCATATCTTCTCAACGTTTATCCTCCTTTTTAATGGCGCTTGGAAACCGTCTGAGTCACATTATACGCTTTCACAGACTAACTTTCAGTCACTTCAGTATATTTTCTTGCCATCAAAGCACATTTGTCTTGTTCTCACTCTGTGCTAATGTCGTCTACTAATGCAGTAGATAGTTTTTATATGGCATTTTACTGTTATCTTTTCACGCTTTTAAAACAACGTTTCGATATTTGTCAAATCCAATAGACTTTTAAGACCTTTGACGAAAATTGGCGTGCTCTCTAAACAACTTGTAGACCATATAATACAGCTTTTACGTGAGTGGTGTTGTCTGGGACAACATTTCTATCTTTACAGTTTTCTTAAAATGAATTTTGCTTATTGCCTTACAACATTCAATTTATCTGATCCTAACTATAACGCATTCTGAAAGAAGAACTCATCAGCACTCAAGATATTGGATCTGAGAAGACTAGTAAGGTATAATACATATAGTACGTAATTACCAGTACAGTGCAGTGAAGTGTTGTATGTAGTACAGTAAAGTACAGTAAATGTACTGTAATATGATAGGATATTTAAACTTTAAACTATTCTTTATAATCATGACAGATCAGTATAATAAAGCTGTGCAACTCATTCCTGTTTCTCTATATTATGTAATTAAAATCACTGATTAACCTTTTTACATCATGGCTGAATATCGCAAAATCCGCCAAGATCTCAAGATATTGGTGGTTTTACACACATATCATTTTAATATTCCTGTTTCAGTAGTCTGCGAGAACGCGTGTATGATATAAAGCCGCATATAAAAGCTGTGTGGCGATACGTCGCGGAACGCGAAATGACAACGACTTTAAAAGTACTAGTAATACTACAAATCCATCCTTGAATCCGGAAATAAAATGATGACTTCAAAAATAAGTTTAATGAATCTGATATTGTAGCATCTCTCATAAGATACCCTTTATGTCTAGAGTAAACTATACACTTTTGCGTGGATAAATGTTCACTGGTAATATAGTTACTAATTAAAATTAAATTCTGCGCCTGCTTTAAAAAATAAAGAACGTAAATAATTGGTAATCTTCTTCGAGCACATTTATTCGAGCATGATAACAAAAATGAAATAAAATCGAAATTGGATTCGAAACTTAAAATAACAATGTTACGTATTGCGTGGGATTCTTTTTATCCGAAAAAGCATAATGATGTAATAAAGATAGCGGTTGTGTTTAATGAGCTGTGTTGTTATATGTTGCATAACACCTTTTTCCAATTGGCAAATTGTACTGGGGGAAATGAGGTATTTGAAGTGAAATGAAGTTACATATTGTATTTTTATTTAAGTACTTGTATCAGTAATAAGTACAAAGTATGCTGGCAAAAGAATCCGTATTATAACACATGGCCATAATGACTTCCTTTGATGTAAACAAAATGGGTAATTTGTAGTTAATATTTGCATTTGGCTAAGTATTAACATCGCCTG